AACTGCCCTTAAAAACCAGTTCCGGTTGACTGTCAGCACCTCCCCTTAAAACTTGAGGATGGTACAATATGGAAAAAAAGATAAGTTGGACACACAGGATAAAGATTTCAGTGCATAGAGGTGCATGCAATGATTTTCTATTGGCGAGCACAGATATGAAGACCAAATGGTACATAGAATCCACCCACACTGTTAGAAATAAATTGTCACAAATCTCCTTCCACACCCACCTCCACTCAACCACAGGACTGACTCTTCCCATCTCATCCCCCACTCATCCTCCCATTCCAAATCCCATCTTTCCTCTGAAGAATCCTCCCCAGTCTCTCCTCTTGATTCCCTCCAGGTCTTCCCAGTTTCTCCTCTTCTTAACAGACCTCCCAGTTCCCAGCGCCTGTTCTTCCTTCTGTGCCCCAGTTTCTCTCTTGGCATGCTCCCCTTGTTTCCCCTCCCCCTTCTTGCAGTCTCTCAGTGACCACTCTTCCCATAAGGCCTGGTGCTAACGCCATCTCTCAGTTCACCACCATCACCACGAGACCGGAGTAGCTCCCTCTCTATCTAATGCTGATGCCAGCCTCTAGAGTAATAAGCACAGCAGTCAAGAGGACTCAGTAGCCTCAGGGGGTTGCGGGGGGGAGCATTCATTGGGTCTTTCAGGGAACATTAAAACCTGTGAGGAGGTAACCCCCACTGTGGCAGAGGGGCTGGAAGTACTTTCTGCCCCTTTTCCCGTGCAGGAGAAAACAGGAGAGAGATGAGCAAGTAACAGCAGCTGGGCTGTGGGCTTGCACATTCTATTCACCAGGGGAAATTAAAGGGCCTCCTGCAGAGGTGGTGTCCAGTCTGGTGCACTAGAGATGCACCCTTAATCCACCACTAAATGAGTCAAGTAAAGAGAATGCATCAGTCACCAGGAAGTATGTTGGTGGCACATTTTGTTACTAGCTCATTAAGTAATTGTTGTGACGAGTACTCATCATCCCCTTCAGTATTTGATTCTAGTTGAAAATCCACAATACTCATTTATTTTATACTGTGAAGCCTGGTTGGTTTCTCCCCATGCCTGTCAATCCCATCACTTCGAGGCAGAGATGCAATTAATTTTACAGCAACTACAGTAACACTGGCTTGTTGTTGTTTGAATTTAAAAAAAAAAAAAAACAATGTACAGAAAGGAGTTTTCAAGCTAATGATAAATGGATATTTGCCTTTTCCTCTATTATTTTTAATTATACTCGATAACTCCAGAAGAAATGACAGTTCTGTAAAGTTCACTGGCTGTTGGCCTTTAGTCATTTGGGTATCCAACTATTTGCACGCTGGTTAATGTTCATTTGGGTTTGGTCTAACTTAACAGTTTTGCCTGCATTGCTGTTGGTTAGGAGTGTGGGGGAAAAAAATCTTGCCCCTCATCGTCATAGCTATGCTAGCAAAAGCTCCAGCCTATATGCAGTTATATCAGTGGCAAAGCCTCCCAGCATAGTTTATTTCATTCCGAGAACTGGTATAAGTATAGCAGTAAAGGAACTCTTTTGTTGATATAAATTACATCCCCATTAGGAGGATTTGCCAGTACAGCTATACTGGCAAACCCTTTCTGGTGTAGACACAGATTAACATATATGGTCCAAATTAATTCCAGGAATAACTGCATTGACTTCAGTAAGGCTACATCACATATGTCTATATTTTTAAAGCCCTTAAATGTAATTAGTTTTGTTATAAACAGCACCTTTAATTATTAAAATAAATAATTTTAAACGTCTTTCATCTTTTCATGCTATTTGTTTGCTTTCTATATTTCAGCTCAAACAAATATAGACTAATTAGTTTTCTTATTGTCTAGCTAACCAGTTCCCTGTCAATTTCACTTTCAGGTTCTCATAATGCTGAAATGGGTTAAATGCACTGCAAAGGGAGCACTGATTTGCCTTTTTTTTTTAAATGAAACTTACTTTTGGAATTAAATCAATATGGAAATACTCTGATTGGTCTTAGGTTTTAAACATATTTGTACAAGAGGCACAGCCTATGGAGGCGATCACACTGCACTGTCAGAATTCCTGCAGGGGAAGGCACATACTCAAGCAGGAACTCTGCAGCTGGAGGCCAGGTTGGAAATGAGATCAATAGTGTAAAAAGCTTTTTTGAAGTCTATTTGGAGTTCAGCTAAGATACTTTGCACCATGTTGAAGTCTGCATTTGTAACTGTACATAATTACATATTAGACCAGAAGAGGTGGCAGCCAGATATTCAAGTGCTCATCACCCAGAGTGCTGAACTCTTTTGAAAGTCTGGCCCCAATAAGGAGTGCTGAGCTCTTCTGATAATTCTGGCACTATCAAGACAGGAAGGCACAAAAAGATAAAACCTAAAGTAAGTAAGTAGGTGCAGAAAGCACACACGGAGAGCCAGAGAATCCAGTCGGGGCCACTCTTCCTCCCCAGCACCTCTCTGGACCCAGAACTGAGCTGAGAAGCCTCCTCTAACCTGAAACCTCCTCTAATCTGGAGGCACTAGGACCCAAGTGATGCCTCTCCTCCTTTCCCCTCTTCTTCTTCCCCCCTATGTGTCCTTAGAGAAGAACTGCTGAGAGGAACCAGCCAGACACTCCATCTGGTAGGAAAGGCTGCAGAAGCAGCCAAAGCAGGGGCCTTCGGACATTCAGGGAACTTTCTACAGTTGAGTGGACTTCCTCTGCCTGCACTGATTGGCTGTTTGCTCCAACCCTCTCCTTCCCACTCCCTTCAACTCAGTTTCTATCTACATCTCTCCCTATTACTCTCTTGTCCCCTGCCCTGTCCCCCTTTCCTTCAGGGTGCTCTCTCCCTTCGTTTTTCTTTCCATTTAACTGATCACCTCCTAATTAAGCCCACCCCACTCCCCAAAAATATGTGGAACTAACATGTTTGCTGTCATCCTATTGTTCATTACGCTTCTGTTTAACACTCCTTCCCCCAGCCAGTGCTTGTCTTGTCCATTTAGATTGTAAGCTCTTTGGGGAGGGGCAGTCTGTAACTCTGGATTTGTAGAGCACCTAGCACCATGGGGCCCCATTCTTGGTCAGTTCTTAGGCACTACCATAACAAACAGTTACTACAATTACCACCATCGCTCTGTATACTGTCCAAAAGGGAAAACAGTACCATCTACAGTACTAGTCTACTGCTGTGCCTGTGCATCTAACCACATCATAGTTGACCTCTCCCGATAGTATGTGCCCATGCAGGTGCAGCCACAGTCTGTGATTAAATTATGCATCAAATTTAACCTGCCAGTGCCTCTTCAAATTCCCTATTCCAGCCTACATAAAACACCCATCCTTCCCTCCCTAATGCACCTAGAGACACGCTGCCTGTAATTTCTGTCCTCCTATCCAGTGTCCCACCAGTTCCACAGGTTGATGCACCATCAACCCACAGAACTCATTGCCAGGGGATGCTGTGAAGGCCAAAAGTATAAATGGGTTAAAAAAAGAATTAGATAAGTTCATGGAGGATAGGTCCATCAATGGCCATTAGCCAAGATGGTCAGGGATGCAATCCTACACTTTGTCCCTAAACTTGATTGCTAGAAGCTGGGACTGGAGAACAGGGGGGGAAGCATCACTGGATAAATTGCCCTATTCTGTTCATTCCTTCTGAAGCACCAGACACCAGCCACTGTTGGAAGACCAGATACTGAGCTAGAAGGACCATTGGTCTGACCCAGTATGGCCATTGTTATGTTCTCATGTGCCATGTATTAAAACTCTTATTTTTTTTAAATAAATTTAAATAAATAAATAAATAAATAAATTTAAAACAGCCACAACTAGAATATAAGTGACAGGTTTACTTGTTGGCTTTAATTGCACAGACACAAACAGTTGCCTATTACTAGCTACACTCATGTCAGTGAATAATAAATCTCACGCTGGAAATACCTACCATGATTCCCATTTAGGTCTTGGAAATCTAAAACTTACACCCTAAAAGTTATATTTATTAGAGACTAGGAACATTTAAGCCTGCACAGTGTACTGACCTTTTGATAGTAAATCAACAATGACCAGCTTTGGCCAATCGGCAGCTTGTAAGGAAATAAAAAAATAACAAGCTATCTGTCATATATAATCCCATCAGTTTATTTAATTCTGCTGCTCCTAATGTTTTTTACTTTGAACATCTGCTGGAGACATTATGGCATTTAGAGGTTAACTATTAGTTTTTAAATAACTAATCTCTTTACTAAATGACTTTAAATCTAATAAAAAGGAATGATGTGGTGAACAGTAAAGTATAACCACCTTGATATCACATATCAGTGACCTCGTGGTACATTCTAGCTATTCATGGGATTTTTCCCAGCAGTTTTGTCATTTCACAAATGCAAATATAACGAACTCTGCACAGGAATCACTTCATTCACCATTGATATGCAACCAGTTGTGGCATGGAACACAGCCGCTAATTAACAGCACACAGTTACATAAAAGTTTAGGACAGGATATGAAGAATAGCTGATCTAAATTAAGATACAGGAGCAATGTAAAATGCAATTACCCAAGATGAGATTTTGCCAGATACCCCACCACCAGCAAAAAGTGCCATGAGTTCTTTAACAGCCACTGTAATCAGGATCTTTGTTTTACATCTCTTTCAAAAGACAGCACTTTCACACTGGATCAAAGTATAATTAAGGATTAGAATAAAGCAAAGAAGAAACCTTGACTCTTTCTTTGAAAGCGATCTGTTCTGAGAATTGGTAGGTTTGTGACTATCTAGGAGGTTGAGTACATCTCAGAAAGAGACTTAAATTTGACATAGCTAAAATCTTGATTTATTTTTTTTAAAATGAATCCGTCAAAACTTGGCTTTGGACTGTCTGAGTTACCCGTGCTTTCCCAAAGAAGCTCCACCATCCATTCATCACCGCCATATTTCCATGGCTAAGTCAATTGGGTGCAGTAATACTTAGCCTCTTAAAGAAGTAGCATCCTGTAATATTAAAGACTTACCACATCCATGATCTGCATGAGGCTAAGAGTGAAGTAGACAGTGAGCGGCTGGGAATCATTGGCCACAGGCCTCTCCAGAGGATTGTAATTCTTCAGCAACTCCTTATAGAGCTTCCTCTGGAACTCTCCTTGCAGGGACACTTTGAACAAGTAAATTGTTTGAATAAGTAAACTGATAAATACTTAGGAATCTACTGTCAGCATTATGATGTAAAAGAATGCAGCATTCAGAAATGCTTTCCACTCAGAATCTGCTCCCATTAGCCAAATCAGGCATTATGTTACCTTTTAGTTTATACTTCCTCCTTCCAAGAAATTCTACCATAATTTATGTATTACATCTGTTCCATTAATTACCATACCCAAACTCTTATCCCAAAACCTTCCACAAAGTCCTCATGGCTGGACTTTACTAAAACTAGACAAGCCATTTACAACACACACTTTGCTTCTCTACAAAAGAAAAAGGACACTAAACTGTCTAAACTACTACATGCCACAAGGGGCCACCGCAATGGTTCCCTCAACCCACCCAGCAATATTGTTAACCTATCCAACTATACTCTCAGCCCAGCAGAAGCAGCTGTCCTATCTTGAGGCCTCTCCTTCTGCCCCTCCACCCCCACGAACATGATACAGTTCTGTGGTGACCTAGAATCCTATTTTCGACGTCTCCGACTCAGGCATTGGCACCCTGACAGCAGGATTGTCTGGCTATGTAGACTCCCTCCTCAGGCCCTACGCTACCAGCACTCCCAGCCACCTTCGAGACACCACTGACTTCCTGAGGAAACTAAAATCCATCCTGATAACACCATCCTCGCCACTATGGATGTAGAAGCCCTCTACACCAACATTCCACACAAAGATGGACTACAAGCCGTCAAGAACACTATCCCCAATAATGTCACGGCTAACCTGGTGGCTGAACTTTGTGACTTTGTCCTTACCCATAACTATTTTACATTTGGGGACAATGTATACCTTCAGATCAGCGGCACTGCTATGGGTACCCGCATGGCCCCACAGTATGCCAACATTTTTATGGCTGACTTAGAACAATGCTTCCTCAGCTCTCGTCCCCTAACGCCCCTACTCTACTTGCACTATATTGATGACATCTTCATCATCTGGACCCATGGAAAAGAAGCCCTTGAGGAATTCCACCATGATTTCAACAATTTCTATCCCACCATCAACCTCAGCCTGGTCCAGTCCACACAAAAGATCCACTTCCTGGACACTACAATGCTAATAAACGATGGTCACATAAACATCACCCTATACCAGAAACCTACTGACCGCTATTCCTACCTACATGCCTCCAGCTTTCACCCTGACCACACACACGCCAAGCTCTGCGATACAACCGCATTTGCTCCAACCCCTCAGACAGAGACAAACACCTACAAGATCTCTATCAAGCATTCTTACAACTACAATACCCACCTGCGGAAGTGAAGAAACAGATTGATAGAGCCAGAAGAGTTCCCAGAAGTCACCTACTACAGGACAGGCCTAACAAAGAAAATAACAGAACGCCACTAGCCGTCACCTTCAGCCCCCAATTAAAACCCCTCTAACGCATTATTAAGGATCTACAACCTATCCTGAAGGATGACCCAACACTCTCACAAATCTTGGGAGACAGGCCGGTCCTTGCCTACAGACAGCCCCCCAACCTGAAGCAAATACTCACCAGCAACCACATACCACACAACAGAACCACTAACCCAGGAACGTATCCTTGCAACAAAGCCCATTGCCAACTGTGCCCACATATTTATTCGGGGACACCATCACAGGGCCTAATAACATCAGCCACACTATCAGAGGCTTGTTCACCTGCACATCCACCAATGTGATATGTGCCAGCAATGCCCCTCTGCTATGTACATTGGTCAAACTGGACAGTCTCTACGTAAAAGAATAAATGGACACAAATCAGATGTCAAGAATTATAACATTCATAAACCAGTCGGAGAACACTTCAGTCTCTCTGGTCACGCGATTACAGACATGAAAGTTGTGATATTACAACAAAAAAACTTCAAATCCAGACTCCAGCGAGAAACTGTTGAATTGGAATTCATTTGCAAATCTGATACAATTAACTTAGGCTTGAATAGAGACTGAGAGTGGCTAAGTCATTATGCAAGGTAACCTATTTCCCCTTGTTTTTTCCTACCCCCCCCCCAGACATTCTCGTTAAACCCTGGATTTGTGCTGGAAATGGCCCACCTTGATTATCATACACATTGTAAGGAGAGTGGTCACTTTAGATAAGCTATTACCAGCAGGAGAGTGGGTTTGTGTGTGTGGTGGGGGGGTTGGGGGGGGTGAGAAAACCTGGATTTGTGCTGGAAATGGCCCAACTTGATTATCATACACATTGTAAGGAGAGTGATCACTTTAGATAAGCTATTACGAGCAGGAGAGTGGGGTGGGAGGAGGTATTTTTTCATGCTTTGTGTGTATATAAAAAGATCTTCTACACTTTCCACAGTATGCATCCGATGAAGTGAGCTGTAGCTCACGAAAGCTTATGCTCAAATAAATTGGTTAGTCTCTAAGGTGCCACAAGTACTCCTTTTCTCTTCTCTTCCCTGACTCTCAGTAGGTAGAACTTCTGGTTGATGTGTCTCACCTTTCAGAATCTGCCACTCTGACCAGTTCCCCTCTTTAGCCAGGGAGAGCAATTTCCAAACGTTAAGATCAATGTGTCAACATTTGCATCCTTTGGATCAGGGATGAGAACTAGTGAGATGTAGCAGTTTTTAATGGATGAAATACACTGCTCATAATTTGATACTTGCTGTAGCATAGCTGTAACTAGAAAAACAGAAGAATGTGATATACCTGAAAATGATGGAATAACCAGGAGATTACAAGGACAATCAAAGTACCCATATCATTGGACTGTAAACTCTCTGGGGCAGGGACAGTTTTCTTGCCCTGTGCTTGAACTGCGCCTAGGACATTGGGGTCCTGGTCCATGACTAGGATTCCAAGGCTTTACAGTAATACAAATACTAAATCACACCACCGGGGAGATTTTATCATCTTTGTGCACCTCAAAGCTCCATATCATTCTAGAGAAGACACTGATTCTGTCATTTACTTTTGGTGAGAGAGAAATCATACCCCTGAGATGGAAGTATGGAAGAGCCAATACAGGAGAGAATTAGAGAAAATGGAAATCCACAACACTGTAGGAATCAGTCCTTTTTGTGTTTGACCTGTGTGTCTGTCCCCAGCCCAAACCAATGTTGTCATCTGTCCCCCACCTCCCTGCTTATTTCCTGATCACCAACCTTTTGTTCCCCACACAAAGGACGCCCAGGTCCCTACCCTGAGGAGCTTACTGTTTAAAAGCCAGGAGTATGTTTCCCCTCCCGCTCATTTTTTAGCCCCTACTCCTGCCAAGGGGGTAAAAACCATTGAGGCTGATCCCAGACAGTGATCTGGGCTAGGGAACAGTTTTCATGCCACTGGTCTGAGCACCAATGCAACAGCAGGATGTGGGGAGAGGGAACAATCTGGGGGTGGGCATCAGTCCACCCACCACTGCAGAAGAGTCCTGCAGAAGACTCTCCAAAAGGATTTAAAGGCAATTGTCTTTCTTCCTAACTCACATGGGTATCCCTTACATGCCAGCACATTAGGGATCACATCCCCTCCTCTCAGCTTGCCAAACACTGCTCATGGCTACCTGTTGGGCTAGGGGCAGTTTGCAGAGCATCTGCACAGTGGCCTCATCACCCAGGCTACATCTGATGACTAAGAACCAGGACAGTAAACTCCAGCCCGAACCTTGTGGAGAGAAGGGGCTAAGCAAAGGATGTGTGGGCAAGCAGAGCCCTCAGATACACAGCCACAAGGGGCAGAAAGGGAAAGCGAAGCACAAAAGTCCACTCACCATGTACGAGCCCCACAGCCACGATCAGCCAGACAGTCAGCTCCCGGAGTCCCATCCCCAGCCTTGCTGGGGAAGTGCAGCAGCTGCAGAGCCCCAGACCCAGAAGCAAAGTTCAGCTCGAGCCCCAAATCAGCCAGGCAGCTGCCGAGAACAGGCACTCAGAGCAGGATAAAGAAAGGGAAAGAGACGCAGAGCAGAAACTAGAAGGCAAGTGCTTGGTGGCACACAGGGCTGAGAGGTTCTGGGGGACGGGGTGTCAGGAACAGGGCTCCAGCTCCTCTTCCTGGTCCCAGCTCCCTTCCTGGGCTGGCCCCGGATCTCTCCTTGAGATGCTGCCAGCTCAGGCACAGCACAGGAATGCTAATGACTGCCCCCCTCCCTCCACCTCCTCCTGCACGTAATGGCTTTCCCTACTTTCCTTAATCCTTGTAGACCCTCAGGCAAGGGCAGAGGGGAGGCAGAGACGTTGCAGCAGCTGGAGAAATGCAGCCCGTTCAACGGAGCAGCCCTAGCTTTATAGGGCTGTGTGTGTGAGCTAAGAGCGGATCTCACTCTCCACCCTTCCCTCCCTCCATGGCTACTCAGCCCTGTGACAGTCACTCAGGCACAACTCCCCTCTGGCCCCATCCCACTGCCAGTCTCTGCAGTTCACTCCAAGAGGGGCACTTCGCTACCGCAGGATCAAGCTACTCTTGCTCACATTTTAACAACCAAGCTGAGCTGCAGCCTTCTCCTTTAGGGTACGAAGCACAGGGGGGGCAGGAGCTCTGGCTCATCCCTGCCTGCTGAGACACTTCTCTCTGCACAGTCGCCAGACGCTGGGGCGGCCACAAATCCAGCAATTCCTAGTAAATGGAGCTGACTCAGCAGTATAGGGGCTCCTCTCCTGGGACAAATAAGGGAAAAGCAAAACTTGTGCCAAACTTGCATTTATTTATAAGGCAGGAATATACATTCTGGTGGTCCTTTAAGTGAGAGCACCTTATTGGAACCTGATCAGTTTTCTAGTGATTGGACCTTTAATTGCACTTAAAGCTAAAAATAAGAGCCCCCACTCCTACCTTGCTCAACCCTTGCACACTGGTCTTAACTGGCCCCGGGGAGGATAACCCCACATAAGATGCTCTGCTCGTGCAGAGGTGGCTTTCTGCCTCTCTCACTCCAGGCTGCTGGGGTAGCAAGGAAAAAGAGCATGTCTGGGACCCCCTATGCCATGCTGCTCCTCAGCAGTGCCTTCAGCTTCAGGTGCCATTGCAGACTGGCCCTGACATGAACTTGCTGCTCTAACAAAGAAGGGTACTGGTCTATCCATAGCTGCAGCAGGATAAAGGACTGCAGAGGAGAGCTTTAAGTCATTGTTGCCCCCCTCCCCAACCCTGACTTGCACTGTGTGCAGTGCAGCCATAGCCAAGGATCTGACCCCTAGTCACATTTGTTTTGGGGGGCAAGTGGAATCAGATAATGTCGTATATGCATGAACCATTCTGTGCCCTTTAGATCTCAGCTGCCGCACAGAGCTGGGAGCTCAAGTGTGAGATGGTTATTTTTTTCCCCAGTGTCTAGAATACCATGTAATTTAAAAAGAGTTGCAGGAGAAATCCATGGCCCCTGATTTATTGATGACACTAAACAAATTTTTTAAAGGACACCAGAAACTCAGCCAGATCTGGTACGGAGCCCACAGCCTCAAACCCTCGCCATGCTACTCACCCAATGAGATTCAGGTCCATTTGCTCTTACACTGAAGCAACAAAAATCTTAGTTTTCCAAGGTCTGGTTTGCTTTCCTTCAAAAAAAATTGCCTTTACATGCTATTAATATTTTTATGTTCTTCCTTAAGGGTTTCAGTCCTCCTGGGTGCCAAATGCTGGATGTTCAGCATCCTTCACATCCATGGACTTCAACGGGCATTGAAGCTACTCATCAGGATCAGGCTTCTAAAGCTGTTCAGGAGTGTATTAAAATATCGGATTACTTTATACCCAGTAGTGTTTCTATATTTGCTTGTCTTTCAACCAAAGGATACTGAAGCACTTTAACAAACCTAAATTTATACACAAATCCCATAAAGGGATCACTTCATCAACCAGTAAAATGTAGTCATAACAGCCACCCTTCTCCCCCACCCCACCTCACCTCACCCCATCATACATACCCTTGCTTAAACCTTCTGTGAAGCACAGATTTGCAAAGAGACATCTCCATTTTGGTGGAGAGCTTTACTAATTGCTAATTCGTAGATCAGCATCTGTGTGGCATTTACAGTTCACTAAACCGTAACTTATAGTAAAAGCACATTTCCAGGGAAACAAACACTTAGGCTACTGCCTTAAAACCATAAATCCTAAGTAATCAGCGCTTAGGAGAAAAAAATTTGCCGCAACTCTGTACTTTTGATTGGAACTGGCTAGAAATAGTCAAAATACAAATTTATGAAGAGGGTTTTTTTAATGTACCTATTTTGCCAGAAACTTTCACTTAGCCTGAAATCCATAGCCCATGTGCAGAACCTGAGTAAATGGGTGGGGAGAAGCTTGGGAATATGTAGATGAAATTTTTCTCCTAACAGCAGAACACACAGTGGATCCCTGCAGTTCATGGATATACTGATTCTGCCTCCACCTCCTCACGCTCTCTCTCAGCTTAAGCACACATCCCTAGTCCCTACACAAACACAGATACTGATGTGGAGGAGTGACACCATGATATTTAGGTCTGGTCTACATACTGTTTTGTACCAATTCAATTATTTCAGTTAGGGACTTGTTTTCCTACTGAAATTATTTAATCCCTCCTGTGGATGTAGCTATACTGTTAGACTTTATTCCCCTTACCTTATAAGAAGAAACTATACTAATTTAACTGCATGTGCAGTAGAGGGGCTGTATCACTAACTATACACGGTACAATGTGTGTGTAGACAAGTCCTCAGTCCCACAGTACGTAGAAAGATGCAGAGTCCCTCATGCATAGCCTCTCTTCCCAGCCTCCTTCCACACAGCACAGCCAGGGTGCTTCAGTTGCACTTGGGCCTTTCTGTAGCCACATTAAGGGAGCCAGTGAATTTCACTCTTAGGGATTGACTGAATCCTGCTGGGGCACCAAAGTACAAACTGCAACTCCCTGCATGAGCAGATATCAGTGCATTTCAGACCAAGGATTCAGTCTCATGGAGGGTGGCAATGTTTGCACTACCCTTGCTCATGATGTGGAAGTAAAAAGAAAACAGTAGAGTTTAAGCATAGAAGTTTCTGGTTATCAGGGAATAAGGTACATATTATCAAGGGGTGCGAAATTCGGTTTAGGAACGGATGGTGTAAGGAGTACATAATCTGCAATCTCCCCGATTGGGAGTAAAAGTTTAACAGGTCAAAGTACGGACATTGAGATATGGGGGTATGTTGTTCATATAATGGCTATGTTCAGGTGTGGAGTATAATGAGTGGATACGATGATGAAGATCGATTGTAGTTGAGACTCCATTGGATCTCCAACAGCAGGCATTGCATGGAGCTCACCACTCCCGCTGGCCAACCCTGACCACATTTTAGGTTGTGCTGGCTTGTTGTGTTCTCTCCTCTCCAACACCATAATGCAAGATTTACTGGTACAAATCAACCCTTCTCCATGCAGACTTTCTGTGGTCAGGAGCTCCATGACATGGGTTATACTGTGCAATGTCAGATGGAAAGTTAATAGCAGTCCCGGGGGGGGGGCGGGGGGGGTCAATGGACTGAGCTGGTGACTAGCTGGAGTGTAGGATCAATTTCTGATTACTTTTAGTTGTTAAAATGGCTTTCGGTAAGTTTAGCCACCCCATAAATAGCTGTCACATTGTATTTCTGAGAAACATAAAGGATGACTTCATGACAAACACGATTGAATAGAAAAGATCCTGATGCAGTTCTAATGTACAAAATTTGGAAAATAATCGTGATAAATGCAACGTTTATTATGTATTTTAAAATATTTGACTGTGTTTCCCATTTACAATGTTTAAAGTATTTTAAGCCAATAAGTGGGTTATTACTTTCGGTTCAAATCCCTGACCTCAGATTCTGTGCTTTTGCTACAATAGTTCAACATCCTGGACAACTGCATCTTAGCAGATATTTGCTATTGTTTTGCTTATCTGTGATAGAAGACAGTGAGCGTTCATCGAATAATACAGAAAACTGTAGTTTATCAGTCACTGTTAGTTTTGAACTCTGAAGAGCCACTTACTCACCTAAAAGAAAAGGAGTACTTGTGGCACCTTAGAGACTAACCAATTTATTTGAGCATGAGCTTTCGTGAGCTACAGCTCACTGCATCCGATGAAGTGAGCTGTAGCTCACGAAAGCTCATGCTCAAATAAATTGGTTAGTCTTTAAGGTGCCACAAGTACTCCTTTTCTTTTTGCGAATACAGACTAACACGGCTGCTACTCGGAAACCAGTTACTCACCTAAGTTACCTACCATCTGTTTGGTTATCTCTAAAGGGCCTGTCACTTGGTACCTAGGTGCCTGCCCTCAGGCCCAAGAAGGAAAAGCAACAGCTAAGTGTGCACAGCCTGAGCAGAGCAGAACATTTCTGCTTTTTCACATATAAGGTGGTGTATTTCCTGCAGCCTCTCTGGCACACTGGCCAATGAGGTGCAAGCTGAGGCAACGGAAAAGCCATGCTCATTTGAAACCACACAATACACAAGGCGTGTCCAGTCATCAAGACCAATCCCCTCCGCCCCCACAGGATACTCTCCCCCCAGGGGATATACTTTTCTGACAGGGTAACGCCTCAGTGGCTTCCTTTTAAATGCTCTGCCTGAGGCTGAGACTGTGAGTGATTTTTGGGCTGGAATCAGATCCTCGGCAGCACTGAAGAGCTGGGAATCGGGGACAAACCCCCAGCTGACCGCGGCTTCGCTCCAGCCAGCGCTCGGTAGCATCTCTCCTCCCCCTGCCATCATCCCTTTGCAACCAGCCCTCCCCGCGGGCCGTAGCTGCTCGCAGCGCCCGGCTCCAGAGGCTGCCCCCGCCCGCTCTGGTTCTGCCACAGGCCGCCTGAGGGAGCCACCTGCGCACGCGACCCACCGCCCGGGGACCGCGTCCACGGCTCAGCGCTGCCCTCTGCTGGCGGGCTGCGATCCCGCCGCTCTGGCCCACCCCCCCAGCGACTTGGCCGCCGAACGGCGAGTCAGCGGCGCCCTGCCCCCACCCACTCCTCGGTCCCTCCCCCGCGGCTCTGCCTGCCGCGCGGGGGCTGGGGGAGCCGGACCCCACTAGCCCAGCCCCAGCCTCTCCACCTGCTGCGGCTGCGCGCAGCCGGCCCGCGCCGGGTGGGGCTCAGCAGCCCGCGCGGCAGAGGCTGCACGGCAGGTTTCCACGTGCCAGCGCAGCCGGCCGGCCAGAGCTGGTCCTGGGGCCCAGCTGCGGTGCGCTGACCCGGGGCCATAGCCGCAGGCCGCCCCTGCAAGCGAGGGTGGGGCGCGGGAGACCCCTGCTGTTCCCCGCAGCCTGACGAGGGGGCAGGGCAGTTCCAGCCAGACCTGGGTGCACCCAAAGGCCCCTTCCCCCGCGGCGTCAGCACCATGTTGAAGTTTGCATTTGTAACTGTAGGAATTGCTGTCACAGCAGCAATGGAGCGGCTCACGCTGCGCCCTTTACAGAATCACAGGAGCAGCGAGAGGGACCGCGCGGGTCATTGAGTCTAACCCCCACCCAGGTGCAGGATTGCAGCCCCCCCGTTTGGGTGAGCGCCTGGGATCTGGGAGACTTACCTCCAAATTGCAAATCAAAAAGAAGAAATTTAAAAGCAGATCGCCTGCATCCCCGGTGAGTGCCCTACCC